CTAACCAGCTGGCAGGGGACAGCCGGCCTGCGCCTGGAGCTCCCTCCCTCCCTTGTGTGCAGCTCAATGATTGTATCGAACGTTCCCCCCCTGCCCCGTGGACGGCTGGCCGAGGGCTGTAGATCCTTGTACTGTAAGCGCCTCCCCAGCACATGTATTTATACCCCCGGTCTGTGCTTGGTGTGACATGTTGCCCGCGGTTCTGCCCTGGCTTCACCACCACCGCCCTGGGACATGGCCTGTGTGCAGAGCACCCCTGCTCCCCTTGGCTCTTGAGGAGTTGGATACACGAGGACTCCTGTACCCCCATTGAATATTAAACATGTTTTATGTAGAGCTGGCCCGGCCTCGCTTCTTTCCCCTCCTGGGGCGCCTGAAAATCTGAGCCACTCAGCTGCTCTGTCAGGTGGGGAGGGAGCCAGGACCTGTGGGTGTTAGCTCTGGTGCTGGGAAGGGAGTGGGGGCTAGAGGATTAGAGCAGGGGGGCTGGGAGGCAGGATTCCTGGGTTTTAGCCCCAGCTTTTCCACGGGCTCCCTTCACAGCTGGGCTGAACCGGTAGGTGGCCTGGATCTGGTGTAAGATGTGCTGTACGCACCCCCTGCCCTTGAGTACCAGTGCAGCCAGGGGCCCTCGCTGGGCCGGGGGAGGGCTGACAGACAGGCCGGGGCTGACTTTAATTAGAAAGAGCTTAGGGGAGTGATGGCACTGAAGAGGCAGGGAGATCCGGCGCTAGAGAAGCTTTACACACACTCCCCCCGAGCCCTGTTTTTAAGGGGATATTGGCTGAAATGGTAAATCCCATTAGCTCTAATCCGGGCTGAGGGAGGCGGATTGTGCCTGTTCCGCACTCTGATTTGAAGGAAGTGGAGGCAGGGGCTGAATCCTCGCCCCAGCCCTGGGCCGGCCCAACTTGGGGAGGTGGGGGCAGCCGGGAGGAAGGGTGCTACCTGCCTCTGGAGAAAGGACGTGGCAGCCGGCTCTGGAAGGGAGAGGGGCACCTGGGTCAGGACTCCAGTTCTGCTGTGTGATGAGCTGAAGTGGGGGCAGGTTGTGGCATTCACACTGCTCCAGCCCAGTCACCCTCCTCTTGCTGGATTCACCCCATTCCCCTTCCTGCGCCCTCCTGCACGCTGGAGAACTTATGCCGCCTCGGCTTGGCCTTCAGCCATGCAGCCTCAGCCCCCACCAGGACTGGGCCTCCAATCCAGCATGGAGTACCACAGTGGGGCAGAATGGACGTTCCAGAGCGGCACGAAGTTTAGATGGCAGCTGGGGTGAGCAGTGCTGCTGCCCCGGGAGACCTGGGGCTACAGCGGTGCCCCACCAATGTGTCATGAGAACACCCAGACGGGGAGACAGGCTCTACCCGGGAGCAGGCACAGGGCCCTGCATTAGCTGGGGAGAGCCAGTCCGTGCCCCAAGGCGCACTCAGAGGTGCTGTACACACAGCCCCAGTGGCCCTGTGCCATTGAGGGCTGGTCCCGGCTCACTCACGGTGCTGTTGAGGGCTGCAGGTGCCAGCCCTGGGCTCTGCCAGTCTGAGCGAACCGGTGAATCCGCTGGCAGGGCCCAGCTGCAGACGTGGGTGTCTCCACGCGGCTCAGGCAGCCTCCCCACCTCTCAACTGTGCTGCTATGGGCACAGCTCAGGAGGCTGAACTGCGTCTGTACAAGGGCTCTTCCCAGCCTCGCTATGGCAGTGATAAATGCACCCCTTGGCTGGGGCCCTGTCCCATTTCGCCAGCCTGCTCGCACTGCAGGGCCTTGCTGCACCGGGGCTGTTCAACGGGGCAACTTTGAAGTGCAGATGAGACTGAAGGGCGCATGAGGAGCCGGCACCTTCCCTACGGGCAGAGCACAGCCCATGGGTTCTGCTGTGCCCCACAGAGGGGCAGGGCTGGTGCCGGGGCAGGGCGTGAGAGGAAGAGGCCAGGCCTAAGCCCCTGGGTTTAAATGCCCCTGCCGGAGCCTGGCTACTCTGTTGCTGAATTGAGCCAGCACTGAACCGCAGCTGAGCTCGTGCATGGCAGGCCCACGTGGGGGGCAGGACACAAGTGAGGGGCGGGGTGCAGGGAAGGGGAGAGATGGAGACCTGGCAGTGGAGCTGAGGTGGGGGCTGCGGGCACCAGGCCTGAGCCCGGGGTGGCACCGAGTCGTGGGTGAGTGACTGAGTTGGGATGGTCTCTTAAGAACATCACATGCCTGGGCACAGGGCGGGGGCCACAACCTCCCCCCCCCCCACGCTCTCCAGAGCTATTGCTGCCCCTCG